ACGTGGCAGGCACTTGAGTCATTATTGAAGTCAGAAGGCATAACATAAAAGGAAGCCACAGACATGATCCCTTCCTCCAAGGAAGTTATACTAGGTGAGGTCACCCAGAAACAAACACAGCCTCAAATACATAAAACAGTCACATGACTATCAGGGACCACCATTTGTATGCAACACGATTGACATTTTCCTTAGCCTCACAGAACCTGCTGTGGTGGATGGTCCATATTAATAGGTTAAGTACACTGGTGAGGAAAATGTTTATAAAGAGCTTGAGAACAACTCTTTTCAAGCCATTAGAAGTACCTATTACAGGCTCTATATCAGAAACGTTTGATGGGCTTATGCACAATTAATTTGCTTTGCTGTAGCATATTAAGCATGACTTTGTCACAGCACTTGTCTGGTTGTATTGTAGCCCTTTGGTTTGGAGGCATCTTTACTCCTCCTCTCCCCACCCACCCTGTACCCACTCATTCACCAAACTTGGAGCTTTGCAAGGGTAGGAGGCCTTATCTGATTTATCTTTATAACTCCAGGGGTTGGCTGGGTGCCAGATATCTAGCAGCTATTAGATAACTCATGCCCATAATAGATAATAGAAACTTGATGGGTTTATTGCATAAGTGAATTCCTAGCTATTGAAACAGATTCTCCGAGAATATCTCTTAGGTAATGCTTCTTGGAATTACTATATATGATCCGGTGAAAAAAATCTACATTTGTGGTTTTAAAACTCACTACATGGTAGCTGTGGAATGTGGAGTAAGTCTCTTGACCTCTCTGGGCCTTGATTTCTTCTAGGCATAGCCTAGAAATGTCTGCAACGCTTGGTTTCCTGCTATCTATAGCATGTACCCATTTGTATGTGCTCATTTGTCAGGGGCGTGGTGCTCCTGAAGCCAGTACAGGCCACAGAGGTAGTCACAGCCTCTGCCTGGGGAAGGAAGACTGTGTAGAGGAAGCTTTGGGTGCCAATGCCCAGGGCCAGAGAGAGAAAAATCTGTGGAGTGCCTTGTCCTGACATAGACACATGGGCCAGGTCTGGGCTCTACTGAGAAAGGCATTAATATGATGAGCACGTATTATTCTTATAATTTTAAAAAAAGAAGTTATCCATGGATAGTCCATAAGCAAGCATGGTTGATTCTCCCTACAGAATATCTCTCGGGTCCGAACACCCCTCATCATCCACCCTGCCTCCCTGCAGGACCGAGCCCCAGCCCCTTTCCTGGTCCCCATGGTGGTTCCTCCCTGCTCTCAGCAGCCCTTCATGCCTCACCCCACTGTGCACTCGTTGCTTGGTAGCTATTAATTAAATGACATCCCTGCTCTGCTTAAAATACTTTGGGGATGACATCACACTCGAAATAAAACTGACTCCTCACCACGGTCTTGAATGACCGGGCCCAGACTCCCCCACAAACTTTACTTCCTACTTCCCTGTCCCTAACCTGTGTTCCAGCCACTCAACCTCTTCTCAGTGCCTCAAGCCCAACCCTCAGGTCCTCCCCCTACTCTGTGCTCTCTGACAGGGGTGTTATGCCCATTACTTTGTGCATGAATGATTAAATGTCACCTCCTCAGAGAGGTCCTCCCTGACCACTTTATCCCAGTGCCTGGTACATAGTGGATGCTCAATAAATAGTCGTTGCATGAACAAATTCTTCCCAACCTGCATGGGCCCCAGTATGGCTCCCACATGGGGAGGATGGAATGGGAAGAGAGGCCACTTTGACATCTTGAGGCTTCATCTTGGAGAACGCTAAACTATAGCATCCTATCCTAGACAGCAGTTGGAGCATCCACAAGAACTAGACCCAGCCCTGCACAGACAACCACAACGGCATGGTGCTGTCCAGCTAGCATGGACTTGTTTGAGGGTATGTGCAGGACCACCCCTTCCCCACTCTCTGACCTCCAGAAATACTCAAAGGAAGGGATTTTATAGGCATCTGAGGTCCTACCCAGCTGGCGGCAGCCCCAGGCCTGTGGGTTTTGTGCATTCATGTTACTGACACTTGCTAATGGTTGCTCAGCTTCTGCTGTGGTTTGGGTATTTGTCCCCTTCAAATCTCATGCTGAAATTTGATCCCCAGTGTTGGAGGGGGTGCCTAATGGGAGGTGTTTGGGTCATGGGGGTGGATCCCTCAGGAATAGATTAACGCCTTCCCTCGGGGGGTGAGTGAGTTCTTGCCCTATAAGTTCCCAAGAGAGCTGGTTGTTGAAAAGAGCCTAACGCCTCCCCCATCTCTCTTATGCTTCCTCTTTTGAGACGTGATCTCTGCACACGCCAGCTCTCCTTCACCTTCTGCCCTGAGTGGAAGCAGCCCGAGGACCCCCAACAGAGGCAGATGCCCAATCGTGAAGTTTCCAACCATCGGAATCATGAGCCAAATAAACCTTTTTTTCTTTATAAGTTACCCAGTCTCAGGTATTCCTTTATAGCAACACAATATGGACTAAGACACCTTCATTACGGCCCTTTGCTCTCAGTAGTAAATCAAAGTCGAGTTTCGATTTAGTAAGTGCGTCTGTGTTCCTGCCAGTCTTGCATCCTCACACGGGAAGTCAGGATCAGCACACGCTTCTAGAGTTGGCTCTGATAGAGACAGAAGGCCTTACTGCAACAATATGACTTAGTTCTGGAGAAAACGCATGAGGCAGAGAATTGCTTGAACCTGGGAGGCGGAGGTTGCAGCGAGCTGAGATCACGCCACTGCACTCCGGCCTGGGTGACAGAGTGAAACTCCGTCTCAAAAAAAAAAAAAAAAAAAAAAAAAAAAGAAAAAAGAAAAAAGAAAAAAAAAAAGCAAATAAAACACATGAACAGAATCATCTCTCACAAGGGTTTCTGGAGAGAACGCGTGAAAAAACTCATCTCTCACAACTGCTTCTTTGCTCCTCCCTTTTGCAGACATTCCATGGCCTGTGTAACTGGGCAAAAAGCATAAATGAAAGTGGCTTCTGGCCTGTGCCGAGTCTTTTTCAAAGAGAAAAAGGAGGGGATAGTGCTTAGGAGCTGAGGGATGTCCGTTCACCTATTTAACTCACAGACATACGCCAGGGGAGCACCTGTCTGCTCTGGGTCCTTAGTCCTGGCTATGGAATTGGAGGAAACCAGTACACGCTGGCAGAAGAGCCCAGGGTCCAGCCAGGACCATCGTCCAAGCAAATGCAATCATGCAATCCTCCTCCTTATCAAAAAGCATTTGTATTTGGGGTGGGGAAGAGTCCAGGGAGAGACTGGGACTGGTGGCTTCCAGCCCAAAGATGGCCCATGGTGATTTTCATGGCATGTGGGCTAGCAGCCACCCTTGTGTCTTCTCAGTTGTATTTATGAGAATATATGAACTCATTACCTAAGGGACAATGGGCAAGTTACTGGAACTTGATATCCTCCTCTATAAAGTAGGGATAGTGATACCTGCCTCGTGGGGCTGTCATGAAGACGGAAGAGATCAGGTAGGTCAACGGCTCAGCACAGGGCCTGGCACAGGCCAAACTGCCTCTTCCCTCACCCCACGCAGAGTTGACATAGAAATCTTCCTCCATCTGCATTGCACAAGACTTAAGAAATTTCGTTCATTTCAGAAAAACCATCCTCTCTCAGGCCAGGACAGCCATACTTTTCAACATCCAAATAGGTAACCCTTGGTCTCAGCCCTACCAAAAGAAGCAGGACATTGGCACGTCACTTTCCAAAGATGGCTAATCCAATTTAAGCATCTACACAGAAGAACTAGCAACACCTCTCTACAGGGCCCTGTTTGTGGATTCTCAATAGTGATGCCAATGAAGGCAGCTGTGATTTGTTGTACACTCTCGGGGCCCCAGGAAATTTACACTTATTAGCAGATCTGGTCCTTACAAGAGCCTCAGAAGATAAGTCTTTATGATGATCCTCATTTTGTAAATGAGGACACTGGATGCAGAGAGGTGAAAGGAAGTAGGAGGCAGAGCTAAGATTCGAGCCCGGGATGCCTGCCTCTCTCCTCAGTACCATGATACTGCCTCTTGCTGCATGGAGCTTTCCACTACCCGCTCTAAGATGTGACTTCTCTCTCTCCACCGAGGAGCCTCAGGTCCCCATGGTGACAGTCACTATGGACATGTGGACAGACTTATGGGCTGGGCTAATTGATCTGTGGTTCCCCTGGGCTCTCAGAGGAAATTGATTGCAATGATGTATTCCCAGTAAGCTTGAAGGTGATTTTTCTCCATCAGATGTTTCTCGCTGTGAACTTGGATGCTGACTGCAGTCCCCAGAGAATGGAGAAGTCTGATTTGATATCCCTAGGAGCAAGCCAGGGCCTCTGAGGAGCTAGGTCGTTGCCATGGCATCCGCCTTAGCTCTTCCAAGGCTGGGCCCAGCCAGCATGGTCCAGATAAGCATCAAATCATGCCTGACTGGTGGCAACGTTGCCAAGGGGATGCTGGCCCTATGAGATGCTCTGGCCCTGTGAACACTGGAGAGGAGCCAGTGGGAAATGGAAACAGGGGGTCAGAAGGACAGCTCTCTCCTAGGGGCTGGTCCTCTGCTCCTGAACGAGTCCCTGCCTGTAAATGCCTCCCACCATGCCTAGCACAGTGCCTGGCATGCAGTGTGTGCTCATGCTTTCACTCAAGCATTCAACCCATGTTTATTGAGCACATCTATATGCCAAGCCCTGGGGATACAATGAGATAAGAAACACACAGTGCTGACCCTCATGGAGCTTACATTTTAGTGAAGGAGGGAGCCATCGGTTAGTACTACAACAACAACAACTGGGATGACAAACGCCATCAAGAGAGCTGCAGGGTGCTTGCCTGCCCTAGGGGAATTAGAGCTAATCAGGGAGGTCAGGACATCTACTTGAATTGAGATCTCAATGAGTGAGTGTTAACGAGAGGAGGAGGAGGAGAAGGAAGAGCCTCCCAGGAGAGGGAACAGCATGTGCAAAGGGGAGCACATGGGCTGGAGCAGCAAGAACAAGGAGCAGCATGAGACAGGCTGATGACCAGACCCCATGGGGCCTTCAGACCATGCTAAAGAATGTGGACTTTTATCTCAAAGGAATTCAGAAGCCTTCAGAGAGCTGGTAAGCAGGGGAGATGTGATGAGATCTGCTTTGAAATGATCACTTGGCTGCAGAGTGAAGCTTTGGAGGGAGGGATTGGAGTGGATATGGAGTGGTCAGAGGCGGGGGGAAAGTGCTCAGTGGATATTTTCAAATCCATTTTTAAAAGTCCATTCCCCAGTCTGCCTTCCTCACTGCCACTGCCTTGGCTCAGGACCCCTCATCTCCTCCACACTGGACGCATGGCCTCTGTTATTTTCCATCTGTTAGCCACCTCGCACGTGGCCAGCAGTTTCCCATTCAAAACTCCAGCTCTGATCATGTCTTCTACGATTACAAGCTGTTCTGTGTCTTCCTTCCCTCCGCCTGAAAGGCAGAGCTCTGTCACTGAGGTTGCAACTTCCCCGCCTGCCTCTCCTTCCCTCTACCCCTCTTCCCCTCCTCCCCGCAGCTTCTGGAACATTGAGTTTATTTCCAGGTGCTGCTCTCTGCCCGGAATGCTCTGCCTCATCCTTTCAGAGCTGACTGGGAGCAGAGTTTTTCCTGATGGCTCTGCCCCTGGTTGACCATCTCTCTTCTGTACTTGGACCAAATCCCGATTTATATCCACCCTGCCTCTTTAGAGGAGGGAGAGAATTGATGGGAATATCTACCCAGACCAAGTTTTTTTTTTTTTTTTTTTTTTTTTTTTTGAGACTGAGTCTCACTCTGTTGTCCAGGTTGGAGTGCAGTGGCGCAATCTCCGCTCACTGCAACCTCCGCCTCCCAGATTCATGCCATTCTCCTGCCTCAGCCTCCCGAGTGGCTGGGACTACAGGCACCCGCCACCACACCCGGGTAATTTTTTTGTATTTTTAGTAGAGATGGTGTTTCACCATGTTAGCCAGGATGGTCTTGATCTCCTGACCTCATGATCTGCCCGCCTTGGCCTCCCAAAGTCCTGGGATTACAGGCGTGAGCCACTGCGCCTGGCCCAGGTTCTTAAAAATACATAAATTCATCTCATCCTAGTAACAATTATCACGTAAAGAAGATATTGTTATTTACAATTTTGTAATGAGGAAACTGAGGCTCAGAGAAGGGAAATAACTCATGCAGCAAAGTATGTGGCAGATGTGGGGTCTATCTACCCTAAAAACCCATGTTCTTTAAACCATGGCAGCTGCCTCTTCCTGAGCTAAGGCAGGGGGTATCACTGGGCCTCCTACAGGGTTTGTTGTACCTGGGGAGGGAAAATATCAGAAAACAATGTAACTAAATAAAGGCAAACTTCTCCCTCTCTCTGTAGCTGCCCCCTCTAGAGATTCCTCTGCCTTGGACAATGATATATAGTTTATATGTTATAAATGTTTGTATGTTATAAATAACATGAATATATTCTGACTATATCATGAGTATGCATAAATGTCAGACTCTGTGAACTGCTTAGCTAGCATTATCTCAATAAAAACTTTACAAGAACCTCACAAGGGAGTTGTCATAATTATGCCTCTGCCATGGAGAGGAAATGGAGGCTCAAGCCCTCATCTACAATGCAACAGGCTGCACTGGGACCCAAGCCCACCATCCCCACCTTTATGAAATATGTCTTGTATGGGTACAAGAAATGACTTGTCCTGGGTCTCCAGGCCAATGGGGGCCCAACCACTTTTGGGGTCCTCACAGCTTTTCCCAGAGTTTCAGCACCTGCTCCCTCAGGCCACTGTCTTTCCATGCTTTTGGATTTCCCTATGGAAAGGAAGCAATTTTTACTTCAGTCATTGTACTTCACTCATCTACCCATCCATCCATCTGTCTATCCATCTATCCATCCACCCACCCACCCATGCACCCATCCACCTATCCATCCAATCCACCCATCCATCCATCCATTCATCGGCCCACCCATCCATCCATCCATCCATTCATCAGCCCACCCATCCATTCATCCACCTATCTATCCAATCCATCCATCCATCCACACACCCATCCACCAAGGCTTTCACCCCCCCACCCACCCATTCATCTACCATCCATCCATCCATCCATCCATCCATCCATCCATCCATCCATTCATACATACATACACACACCCATACACCCACCGACCCATTGATTTATCCATCCATCCATCCATCCATCCATCCATCCATCCATCCATCCACCCACCCATGCACCCATCCACCTATCCATCCAATCCACCCATCCATCCATCCATTCATCGGCCCACCCATCCATCCATCCATTCATCAGTCCACCCATCCATTCATCCACCTATCCATCCAATCCACCCATCCATCCATCCATTCACCCATCCATGCATCCATCCATCCATCCATCCATCCACACACCCATCCACCAAGGCTTTCACCCACCCACCCACCCACCCACCCATTCATCTACCATCCATCCATCCATCCATCCATCCATCCATTCATACATACATACACACACCCATACACCCACCCACCCACTGATTTATCCATCCATCCATCCATCCACCCACCCACACACCCATTTGCCAATCCATTCACTCACCCACCCACTCATTCATCTATTTATCCGTCCATCCATCCACCCATCCATCCATCCACCCACCCATTCATCTATCCATTTATTGATCCATCCACCCACACATCCATACACCCACCCACCCATTGATCTATCCATCCATCCATCCATCCTTCCATCCACCCACCCACCCATGCATCCACCCATTTATCCATCCATCCATCCATCCATCCATCCATTATTTATTAATACCTACTGTTTGCCTTCCCCTACTATGTGCTGGGGCTACACAGAACAAAAAGGCAGAGCCCTCAAGGAGCCCACAGTCTCCCCAAAGAGACAGCACTCACACTCCAAAGCAACTGGGGCCAATGCAGGGACCAGTTAGAAAATCTGATTTCTGGAAGGGCCCAGTAAGTCACTGAAGATTGGTGGCCTAAAGGTGTGCTCGGAAAGTTCTTATTGTTCTCTACTGTCAGTAAGGGCTGGGGCAGATGTTGCAAATTGATAGGAAGGGAATGAGCTCAGCTGTTGCTTGTCCCTCGTGAACACCAACAATTAGAAAGCATCTTGCAGAGTCTGGGCAAAGTCGTCATGGTTGGATTTCCCCTGTGCCAGGCAGCTTGCTGAGATTGTTCTAGAGGCAGATTGTCACAGCTCCTCTGTAGGCATCAGCTCAGGAGGCATTGCTCACTTCTCACTCTTCCTGTTGACACGTTTGCCAGTGGGGTGGCTGCTAGGCAGGCTCTGCCTTCCTTCAGAAGCTGCTGTAACAGCTGGCATTTACTCCATGCCTTCTGTGGGCCAGTTTTTTATATGTGATGTCCTCACTCTTTGCAGTGATCCTGAGATGTGGATGCATTATCCCCACTTTACAGGTGAAAAACTGAGGCTCGTTGAGGGAGATCAGGTGGCCAGGCAGTGCAGCGCAGGGTGGGAGTCTGCGTCCGTCCGACACAAGCCTGTCTCGACTCTGTTACGTACCATATTTTTTCACTACCAGGCAGCCCTGCCTGCCCGGTCAGTAGTAGATAAAACTGTGACATCTTCTAAGTTTCTGGTCCCTTTGGTTCTGGGGATGAAGGAAGTCTGAGTGGCCCTGAGAGGTACAGAGAGAGGAAATGGGAGACCACTAGATACAGCTCTCAGTGCATGTAAGATAGTGTCAAAAGTTTAGAATCAGAATCCTTTCACCTAAGTAAGATGCTGCTTGGATTTCCAGACTGATCCATAAAATCTTATTTGACCCCTAAATACTTGCAGGGTTACTAGTTGTGTTTTAACTATGACCAACTCTTGTTTATAATTCTGTTGCTATAAGAAATGTGTTCTGAGGTTTTACTCATCATACCAGCAACATCTCTTTCCTCTTCAATGCCCCTCACCCACAAGCTGCAACCTAAGACCTCCTCCCAAAAGGCAAGGGTGGGGCTTTACTCTTTTTTCCATAAGAGAAGGACCCATCCTAGACACTGGTTAATACTCCACGTCTGTCCAAGACGAGGTCTGACACACATCAGGTTTGTGATTACTATTGACAAAAACAGAGAGAAGATGGTGGTGAGGCAGGGTAAGAGAAATAAAGGACAGAAAGACAGCAGGAGGGAAAGTAAGAAATCAGGAAGGGAAAGAGAGAGATAGTCAGACAGGAAAACAATAGCTTTGTCTACTGCTCAAGTGTTTTGAGGGCCAAAGGGAGGATTACACAGATAAGCCAGCCAGAGTTGCCTGTGTTATACTTGGCCCCCACTGGCGTAATTTTGCTTTTGGCTGCAGCCAGCCTGTCTTAGAGATAAAGAGTTCTTCCATGGCAAGGAAGGATGTTGAGGCTGCCACCCCACAGGGGCACTCACCCCTGGTATACCAACACCAGCTCCATCAGCCCCTGGCTGCAGGGCAGAGAAGGCTGATGCTTGTGCCTCTCAAATGGCTCCTTTCCATCCTGGGTGTCCACCTGCCCTTTGCTGACGGGAGAGACTTTGTCTGGCAGACAGGCATCGTGGGGAGTTGCCATGGTGATGGCTGTGATGTCACTGGGGAGTAAATCAAATTGCAAATCTCACAGTTGAACGGCTTTGCTTTGCAGGGGTTGTGAGGAATGAGGAAAGGGTAGATGCCTCAAAGGAAGTTGCAGGGTGGATCTGTACCAAGTCCATCTCCAGCCTCTCCCGTTGCTTTGTCAACTAAGATGAACCTCATTTGTTCATTCATTCATTCAAGTAATTTTTTGAGCACCTACTATGTGCCAAGCACCATGCTAGGTAAATCAGATGAGGTGTCTGTATGGTTGCACCACCTAGTGGGAGAGACAGGCACGTAAAAGAAATTACATGATAAACATGTGATTACCTTTGTGATTCATGCAGTGAAGAAGTGTATCAGCAGTATAAAAGTTTACTTGGGCTGCCATAATGGAATACCATAGACGGGGTGGCTGAAACAAAATAAATTTATTTTCTCACAATCCTGGGGGCTGGAAGTCCAAGATCAAGGTGTCAGCAGGATTGGTTTCTTCTGAGACCTTTCTCCTTGGCTTGTAAATGGCTCCCTCCTCCTTTTGTCTTCACATGGTCTTCCCTCTGTGTGTGTCTGTGTCCCAATCTCCTCTTCTTTTAGAGACACCAGCCATATTGGATTAGGGCCTACCCTAATTATCTTGTTTTAATTTAATCATCTCTTTAAGAACCCTCTCTCCAAATACAGTCACACTCTGAGGTACTGAGGGTTAGGATTTCAACATATGAATTTGGGGGGACACAATTCAGCCCCAACAGGAAGTAAGGAGAATGTATAAGAGGAAGATACAAGGTATCAGGTTGGGAAAGGGGCAAGCAAGTCCTCCCTGAAGAAATGACAACTCAGTAGAAACTTGAAGCACTAGAAGTTTTCCAGGAAGGCAGAGTGTATTAGTTCATTCTCACACTGCTATAAGGACATACCTGAGACTGGGTAATTTATAAAGAAAAACAGGCTTAATGCAAGAGACAGAGTGTGCAGGGGAGCTGCCCTTTATGAAACCATGAGATCTTGTGAGACTTACTCACTATCATGGGAACAGCCCAGGAAAAACCTACCCCCATGATTCAATTACTTCCCACTGGGTCCTCCTCCCACAACACATGGGGATTACGGGAGCTACAATTCAAGATAACATTAGGATGGGGACACAGCCAAAACATATCAGAGAGGAAAGATGGAGATGGACTTCTAGGGAGAGGAACTTTCCTAAGATAGGTGAGTTCAAGGAATTAAAAGAGGACCAGTGTGACTGGGGTAGAGTGAGTAGGGGGTGAATGGTGTCAGCAGAAGGCAGGGGCCAGGCCTTGCAGAACCTTGCAGGCAGTAGTAAGAATCTAGAATTTTTTCCATGAGCGATGGATAGCCACCAAGAGGTTTTAAACAAATTTTTCTCTTAAAAGAGGGCTTTTCTGGTGGTTTGGGGAGGGATGCCCATAATGGAGGTTATTATAGCAGCCCAAGTGTGGTATTATTTGTCTTTGTTTCTTCCTCCTTTCCTGCCCCTTGTCATGGCTTCCTTTCCATGGGAGGAATATACTTTTCTGCCCCTTAGTCTTTAGGCTTAGCCATGTGACTTGCTTTAACATTAGTTAAATGTTAGAATGTTAGTAGATGGAATGCAAAAGAGGCTTTAAAAGCATTTGCATAGTTTGGCTCACTCTTTTATGCATCTGCCACCTGCCATGAGAAAGACACGCCTTGGGTGGCTGCTGGTTCACAGAGAATGAGGACACCTACGGAGAAGATCAGAATCTGACCTGTAGCCCAGAGAACTTTCCCAAATGACCCACAAATCTATCGGCAAGAATAATACATGTTTGTTGTGGCAGGTCAATGGGGTTTGTGTGTTGTGGGGGGATGTATTTGTTATGCAGCATTATCATAGCATTAGCTGACTGATACACTAGGCAAGAGATAAAGTTGGCTTGAATTAAAGTGATGGCAACAGGGCTGGAGAGAAGTGGCCACGTTTAAGCTATATTTTACAGTTGCCAACATATAGGTGGCATTTAAGTTCTGGGGTGGATATACCAGTACTAAAGTGTGGGATGAGGAAAGGGGCCAGGATTAATCCTTGAGGGATTCCATCCATTAAAAATTGGAGGTGTGTTAGCTTGCTTGGGCTACCATAACAGGATATCACAATCTGGGTGGCTTAAAACACAAATTTATTTTCTCACCACTCGCAGGACTGGAAGTCCAAGATCCAGGTGCTGGCAGAATTTGTTTCTGATGAAGCCTCTCTTTCTAGCTTTCAGATGGCCACCTTCTCACTGTCCTCACATGGCCCTTCTACTGCGAACACATACTCCTGGTGTCTCTTCCTCTCTTTGTAAAGACACCAGTCCTATTGGATTAGGGCCCTACCCTTATGACCTCATTTAACCTTGACTCTTGTCCCCCACCCCCTGGGACAAGCTGTGCTGTGGTTACAGGGGGCAGAAGAGGGCAGCCTCCATCTGCATTCTATCTCCAAATAATGTCACTTTGGGAATTAGGTCTTCAACATATGAATTTTGGGGGGTGGCAGGGGGTGGGAAGGCAGTAATAATTCAGTCCATAACAGGTAGATTTCCTAAGTGCAAGGTACCAAATGCAAAACCAAAAGCTAAAAGACCACTTAAGACTTAAATGGGTAAGTCACACAGCATCACATCCACTATATTTTATTTGTCAAAGTAACTCTTAGAGCTGGTCCAGATTCAAGAAGGTGGGGAGAATAGATTTCATCTCTTGGTAGGAGGAGTAGCAAAGCCACATTTGCAAAAGGGCATGTGGGATGGGAAAGATTGTGTGCCCATCTTTGGAAGCAGGCATCATAGAGCCTTCGAGAATGAGTGAGTAGGAACCTGCCAAATTCTCCCTAGACCTCTGGTCACCACCAAGGGACTTGACAGTTATCTGGAGGCAGAACCACTTGTAGGCCAAGACATCCTCAGGAGAACTTCTTCTCACCCTCCTTTAGTCTAGCTGGTTATCTGAGAATATCCGCACTGAAACCCACGTCATTTCACAGCTCTGATAAGGACCTAGAATTGCCTTGACTGTGAAAATAATGGACCCCTTGGCATCTTCTAAAGGTGATGTGGCAGTTACCTTGGATGTCAGTACCCATCCCTCCTCATTATAAGACAGCTCTGATGCTCCTGGTATGAGCACTCCCTTCTCTGCCAGAAACGGGATTGGTGGGGCTGTCAATCAAGGTATCCTTTCCAATGCCCACCAAAGAGGTGGACTGAGAACCCGAGATTGCTCTGGGGTTTAAATAAAGGGAGTCAGTCACCAGAGATAGTGACTGTGTGAACAAAATTCACCCACAGGGCCCTGGCAGATGGCCTTTCGCTCCTGCTACCTGGATTTTTGGTTTCTTCTTCTTTCTGAGATCTGGCTTGTGTGTTTGTTTCAGTTTTCCTTTAATCTGAAAGCTTTCCCTCATCTTCCCAATGAATTTCTTATTTGTGGATTTCTGTCTATGCAATCAACAATCTGTAACATTGATCTTGGCTGCAGAAATCTCGCATGTCTTTGCTGGCCTTCGTAGCATGAAGAAGCTTAGACTCAGAGAACACCTCTCTTCAAGCTGTCCTTTGGGGAGGGGGAGTTAGAATGTCCCCCTTTTAGACAACTTGGAGGCATTGCATAGCTTCCTCCCTTGCAGAATCTTGATTGTCCCTTCCCGGTTGCCTCAAAGGCTGCAGGGGGAGGGTTCACAGACTGAATATGACAGTGCCAAAGGTTGCGAGAAAACAGGAGCTTCAAGCAAAGGGAAGGCTACTGGATAGCTCTTTGGATGGCAGCCTTGGCAGAGTGGCCCAGAAGCCACTGCCAGAGACTCAGGGAAGAGCTGGTGAGGGAGAAGCAGAGGTAACTGTATTTTTCAGATCAGTAGGGAGAGTGGGGCACCAGTAATCAGGGAACCTGGGTTCCCCGACTCACTGGCTATGTGACCTTGGGTGGCAAGTCATCATGATGTTCAATTTCCTTTTTGTCAAATTGAGGGTAAGGATAACACTGCCATGCAAAAGTCGTTTTGGAGATTAGTTCAGTTTCTATAGGCCAGAGTTTTCTGGAATTTGGTACTCTTATTTCTGGTGCAACTTCAGATACTTTTACTTGGTACAAGAATAAACAAATGTTATTCTAACAGTTGCATGTTTATTTCTATGGATTTCAGCATGAATGATGAGCATACTACGGCTGCAATTTTGTGGCTATTTTTCAGGAAGAGGTCAGATTATAAGAGTTAGTCACTTTAACAAAAAATATTAAGTAAATAAAAGTATAGGAGGAAAAAGGATGTGGCAATCAAAGGAATGCATTTATAAATAGGGCACTTACAGAGGTGAGAATCGGGGAGACAAACGTGGCTGGAGAGAGCGGACAGGAACAGTGGAAAGCAAGGCCTGGCTGAATCAGAGGTCCCTGGGGTCAGAGTTGAACACGTCTGGAATATTCCACCTCTGGCAATGGTGAGTAGGTGTCAGAGGCTCCCGCCGAGCAGAGACCTCTAGACTGGACTTCTGTCCACCTCCTAATATCGTAGGGTTGTGCCTGCTGTGCTTTGGGAAAAGGAACTGTGGTTCCCCACCCCCTAGGACAAGTGGTTACAGGGGGCAGAAGAGGGCAGCCTCCATCTGGGTTCTTTCTCTGAGATTCCTTCTCTTAAGCGGGGCAGTGGCAGGAACCTCAGGCTTCAGGATCAGGCAGGGCTGGGTTATGATCCTGGCCCTGCTGCTCACGGGCTCTGAGGCCCTGGGAAAGTCACCTCACCGCTCTGAGTCTCGTTTCTTCGTCTGTAAAATGGGAGTGATAAGAGTTTTTGAAACATGTGTTCCCCACCCAATTCCCAAAAAGATTTGGAATGGCAGCTGATAGGGATTGTCATGGGCTGGTGAGCTCATGCAGCCTCCAAAGGAGGGGATGAGACAGCACCTAGTGCAGGACTCAGTAAATGTGCATTTTCTTA